ACTGAGAAGGAAATGATGACAGCATTGTCTCTCAGGCATATTCAGTMAGCGAGAACCGAGTGCTCACTACTGGTCAGTAACTATACATCACCTTCACATTTCATTATAACTCTAGATATCTCTGTCAAACATCAAACACTGAGGTAAATAACCTCCTTGTTTTTAGATCAACATACGTTGCTACAGTCCTATGTTTGTAACATGAAAGGTTGCTATTTTTAATGAATACAATTAAAGCATTGCCTTCCTTYATCTTCCAGATCGTTGCTAATACTTGATTTTAAAGAAAATCCAACCATTACTCCTGTGTGCTTCCAGCAGTAACCACTTCATTAGACATACTGCCAGATTGACCACTACTGATTTGAAAAGGATGTACTGCAAGATAAAAAAGACAAAAGAGTGATGTATAGGAGAATATGTATATAGATTTCCAGGAGAGTGAAGAGAGGATAAATCTGACTAGCATGAACCGGGAATATAGTGCACTGACAGAGGAGTAATCTACATGTAACAATAACAGTGTGCGCATTCATTGATGCAGTCACTGAAAAGAAGATGCAAACACATTATTCTGCTACTGAGAGTCTGGACTGTGTTAAGCAATTGTTTGCTGTCTCTCTGGTTGTTGCTTTATTTGTGGGATACTGATGGGAAGACAAACCAACAGTTCATTTATGACTATGCTTTAATTCTAATCCATCAGTCACTCCTACATCTGTTTAATGGGATTTGAGTCCAAGTCAATTCAATCTACTTTTTTCTAAGAACATCTTGTTGGGTACTGCACCACATGACTTATTAGTAGAGTAGATCTCCAGTACAAATTTTCAAATAAAGTCATAAAACAACCATGATGGTAGGCATTAAAATTTCACATTCACCAATGATTACTGGTGAATGTGAAGACAGGGATAAGTCTGTCTTCCAGGATATGAGAGTAGTTTGTTACATAGCACTATACTTTGGTGGTAAGTTTCTTATACTGAAGACTGCATTGCCATTGGTTTCCAATGACAACACAGTTAATTCTGTTTTTAACCACTGAATGCTTAAATGTCATCCACTGTGGAGATTTTGATTAAGCAAAATCTGGAGATTTACAAGCTGCCTGCACATGTATATTAAAACCAAAATCACAATCACAGGTAATTCTACATTAAATTATATCCTACTGGCAAGTAAAAAAAATTCAAAATTTCTTATTCCCGCTCCGATTTCTAAGTGCTAAGCTGCTGCAGTACTATGCATAAAACTGTTCTAACTACAAAGAATGCCATGTTGCAATAGGGAGAAAGTGTAATTTTTATATAAGAATTAAATTAAAAACTGATACAAATCACTTTGTGACATACTGTTTTTATGTTACAGACCAATTATTTTATATTTTTTATATTTCACCTCTGTCACTGAGCAATTTAATCATGATGGTACCAGAGCTATTAGATTTGGCTCACATAACCTATTTTTTTCTCCTTTACTGAAAGTGTTACTTTGTGTAGTAACAATCTGGAATCATGTTCCCTTTAAAATTTATTTTAGCATGTGTGAATTTAACAACAAGATGTCCCAACCACTATTTTCTTTCTGCAAAGGACATACAAACTGATCAGTCCTTTCCTAATTCTTTGGTATCTTTCTAAAGATGTAGCTTATATTTGGAAATAAAAATCTCACTGGTTCTCCTTTTTTCCCCACTCAACAAGTTGAGCAGATACTCCACTAAATCCATTTTAATTCCTAACGTAGTTTGTTTGATTTTCCTCTAATATAGCTCTGCTTCATGACAAGCACTAAGGTTACTTAATAATTTAAGTAGGTTTTTCTCTCCTAGAAACAGTAAATGTTCTTAAATTGCCAGCAGTGATTATGAATGCCATGAGTTTATGAAACTTACAAAATAGGGTCATTAGAAAGTTAAATATTTGGGGAAAGCGGTGGGTGTTTTGTTTTGTTGTTTTTTTTTCCTGCTGGACCTGTAGAGAAGATTTCACAGAAAAAAAAAAATTGGCTATTTTCCTTGTTCGAGAAGGGCATTGACAGGAATATCTCATCATTTGTGCAAGTTAGATCTCACTAGTGACAAACTTCATGACTGGGCCAGCATAAGACAAGTATAAAAAGATGACGATGGCCCGACAGTTGGGAAATTCTTCTTTGTTCTTAGAAACGTAGCTGCATACCACAGTTTATTGCAACACTGCCTGGAGCYGTGACAGGTCAGCCCTATGTTTTCACCCTTACCCCTGTTTTTGTCATTGATGTCATGACCACACTAGCATATACTCAGAAACAGTGATGACAGCAAAAGAGCTTGAAAACCCTCAGTGTTCAGACTTAAACACTAGTTCAGCTCAACCAGGTTCATTACACACAGGTACAGGCCCTAGGCATCCAGCCTAACTACTGTCACATTAAAGCACATGTACTGCTGACTGTGGTCTGCACCACAGCCAATCTGTGAAGACTGATCCTCAAAATCACTCCCATTTTGGCCTTCCAGTCCATCACCACCACCTCCASTTTCTCAGCACCTGCTCCTAGATGTTCTCCTTCCAACCCTGTCTGGATGATCTTGTACCTAGCACTGTCTTTACTTTGTCTCCTGATAAGGACACATATTTTCGCCATACCACTGCAAGCCTCAATGTGCATAGTGTACACTGATGAGAGCCTCAGCAAGGCCACTATTGGGAGAAGCCCTTGTACTTCTGGGCTTGTGCCAAGGCCCTTTCTTTTTTTGACTAGTTTGTTTTTCCACAGTATATGGTTATTGTCTCTTCTGTCAAAATCAAAATAGTTGGCCTCTCACAATTCAAGTTTTTCCTTCATTCTAACACCCAGGAGACAATTCACAAGTTTGATTTTTTTTTTTTTAAACTAGACTTCTTAAATAATTCTGAATTCACTTCAGTTACCACTGCATTTAAACATATTTCTTTTCCTCCCTTCTCTTTTACAATCTGCTTTCTGTAGTGAAGATAATAGTCATAGTTCAGAATGTTGAAACGATTCTACTACCTGCTCTGTCTTCTATGGAGCAGCAATCATTACCACCTTGGCAATCTAGTCAGATAAATTATTTCCGATTGTTTCATCTTTGACAGATCTCCTCCCCCACCACAAGGCATCTCCTTCCTGTTCATCCTGCTTGTGATGTGAGCCTACCAATACTGCAGAGTACAGGAATGCAGTACTGCCTAAACACCTCTTACTTTAGTAAATGGAAKTGAAAAATTAGTAGAAAGGAATAGAGGGAGTTATATCAGGCTCTTCTGGATGCACGTCCAGAATTTTCCCTGTGGATACACAGCCATAGGTTTCCGCTGTACAGTAGGCCAGGCCAAGCCAAAACTTTACTCAAAGCATTAGCAAAAAAAGAACACCAAAAAAACAACAACAACAAAAATCCCTAAATAYCTGCTTGCATCAAGCCAGGAAACGAAGATGTTGTATCAGGCTTCTCACAGGCTCRAAGGGCTCCAAGGACACTACCAAAGCAGCTCGAAGACTGAAGCCCAGCTCACTGCAGATGTGCAGTTTGTAGCTGACAGCAAACTCTAGAGGATTTGACTGTAGCATCTTTTAAGACTGACTCCATATGGATTTTCCTCTAATAACGTTTGAATATACTCTGCAGCATTTCCTCTAATCCAAGCAGAGCGGAACATTTGTCTCGGCTCGTCTACTTTGGCCACCCACACTCCTGAAACCAATACTGAGGAGCCTCATCTTGGAGACCAATAAAACCTTTGATAAACGTCACTARAAAAAGCCACCAGGCATCAAAGCTCTAGTAAGGAAGAGGAACATAGGCAGAAATTCAAATGAGTGAGAAAGATGTACCTATAAGCCAAGTCCAACTAGACAATATCTTCTTCCAAACCAACATAACGCTTTCTTCTTCCCTGTAATCTGTTTGAGGCAACTGCTGCTCTTCCTTCTGGGCCCAGCCTTTGYGTCTAATGCTCCATCAGGCAATGGCTCCTGACTAAATTTGAGGGCTTGCATAGCAGTTCACTAAATGATTTACAGCYCCTCTCTCATACATGCCTTTTTCTCACAAGTTTTCTAATTTYCCTCTGTCAAAAAGTTAACAGGTGGCATAATGCAGAACAAGGGTTAGATCACTCTAACCACCTCAACGTTGCCCATTAAAACTGTGCTGCTGGGATAAAGATCACAGCACACATGTGGAAAGGGATCTCTCTTAAGAGCTCTCACTCACAGTCCACTTTCCATGTACTTAAACAGCAGCTCCCCAGTATGAAGGAAACTTGCAGCGGGCTTTGCAGGCCCATCTCACCTGTAGCAAACTCTTATCTCTCTCCTCACTGCCTCTTCAAAACTAACCAACTTTTTGACAGATGAGGCCTCTTCCCACATCTAGTGACTGTGGAGGGGGGAGGAGGCTGGTAGAGGAACGACTTCAGCGGCCGTTCCCACTTCCCTCACCCCTCGTCACCGCAGAAGTCCAGGGCGTGCAGTGGAGAGCTTCACAGCCGGGAGGAGCCCGAGGTGGCCCCGCGTTTCCGGACTGGCGGTGGAGAGGACCAGGGGARAGAGAAAGAGTGGCAGCAGAAGCGCCATGCGTCGGGCAGGTGGGCTGAGGAGGGCGCCCGGTGTGGGAAGTGTGAGGGTGGACGCGCGCCGCATCGTTGAGAGCGGCCGTTGGGCAAGGGGCAGCTGGGGGGACGCCCTGCCCTCGCGCC